TTTATCGTAAAAAGATATCAAAGAAATATGATAATTTAATATTTTAAATACAATTAAAATAATTAGAACGTAAGGAGACTTAAACAAATATTGAAGTTTTTACCGTTAACCTCTGTTTTTGAATACATTTGTTTTAATACAAATAATGAGTAGTATATTTTATATAAAATATAACTGTTGAATACACACACTGTTAGAAACAATGGACGTAGAAAAGAATATTTGTGTACAGTTTTTAACAAACTTAAAAGGTATGTGATAATCGGTGAATATAAATTTCTTTTTGTTAAATGTGAAGCAAACGTTCTTTTATACCATATATTTCTACGTTCTTTGATATTATTTTACAGCAAACGGAAAAATATACTCTGGTTTTGAAACATCGCTTAATACATTACAAACTTATGCAGCGTCGAGGGGCTTGGAGGACGATGATATGAATTTACTAATAAATGTTATTATAAATACAGATTTAGGTTTGCATATTTTCTACGTATGAAATTAAGCATTACATTTCATTAGATAAACAGATTAAACAAATTTTCCCGTAGGTGCTACTAAATTAATAGGCTTAATAAAATGTTTAGTTCCAAGGTATAAAATACCTGAACAAACGTTTAAATTGATTACCGCATGGTGGTTATCGTCTGTGAATAAGTTACCAATTACAGTCTCTATTAATATTATACAATGGATAGTTGGTAATATTCTCTTACGCAAATACAATCGACCCTCCCGTAACACGGTACCTTGAAAACTTGGTTTCGATATAACACAGAATGTGTTCCTTTGATTTATATTGTTTCTAGGTTTCGTTTAACACAACTTTTATATAACACGACACCCCGGGAATATGGTATCGACGCAACATGGAACAGATTTCCCTGATTTCTGTTAGTTCTAGATCTCTTTTAACAAGGAACGAATCCATCGTGTTGTAGAAGGGTCGACTGTATATTTGTCACCGTACGAATCGTCTATGAAATCATAATCTATGAATGTACAAATTTCATTATATGTGTGATTTTAGGTTTGTGGAATCATCGATTAATAAATAACAAGGTGTTAAATATATATTATAGCAACTTATTTTACATAATGCTGAAGAAAGGAAGTCTGGTAATTTTACTATATACGTGTATACTTTTACATCTATAAGCCATTGAATAAGTTATATGTCATATAATTTCATTTTAGGAAAAGTATATAGCACAACTTATTTATGTATTAACCAAACCTCAAGATGTAACACGTAGAGATGTGACACGACTGATCAAGTTACATCAGAAATATTCTAGACCTCAGAAACATATTGTTGTATTATTATCGTAAGTAATCATGATCGTAAGCAAAGAATAGTACTCTCTTCGTCTCACATTAACTTTTTTAATTAACTTTATTGAAAATTTGAAACATTATGCTTAAATTTACATGATTTAAAGTATTAACCATTATATTAAATGCTTCTTTGTTATACTTTAATAACAGACGAATATCCATAATGTGTAAACTTTTTCTTGTTTTGTGTATTTTAATTTGAAATAAATTCTTATTTTTAACAAGAACTGCAGCATACTATTTTGCTACTTAGCAGCAATATTTACTATATCGACTTTGTATCGGTTGATGCTTTAATTTGCATTTCTATGCTTCCTTTTCTTAAATAATGTTTGCTCAAATAAACAATTATATCGCTTCATATTTATCCAGTTAAATTAATTTGCATTGATTAATATAAGTTAATAAATCAATTATATTTTCATTAACAACTGATACTTAAACTACTTAACGTCTTAACAAAACAGTTACCTAAAATGCATTTTAGATTATTCAAATCTTACAAACCTGAACTTGTTCCTGAACAAGTTGAATCTGTAAATCTAGAGATTGTATGGAGACCGATACCAGAGGGACTGCAAGGAATGCTACAAAGTGCTAAAGATCGCTTAGAAATTCAAGAAACACAATCCCAAAACTCTAAACAATTTAATTGGAATACATTTCAGGTAATTATTTCATAAATGTAAAATTCATATGAATATAGTTTACAAATATACAGGATGTCCCATTTGAAGTAACGCTCTAAATTTTCTCCTAACTAAACTATAGTGTCGATATCCCAGTTTCCAGGCCCCTGGATTAAAAACGTATAGAAAAAGAATAGTTTCGCGCGCGCGCGCGCGCGCACACGTGTGTGTATATACACTTTATTTTTTTAACATTAAAAGTTTTTAACATATTTTTAGTATGGTAGAACAAACAAATCGGTGACTCCGCTGTTACCATCTGTACAATATTTCCAAATTGGCTCTAATGTTTTTAAAGAAAAGGATACAAAAACTATTTTTGATATATCCAAGTAAGTAATTAATTTAAATATTTTAAGTTATTTAGTATAATTATTGTATATAATGAATTATTTTAGTGTAGAAGATTTGGGAAAATCGTATTTTAACTTGGAATTGCCGTGTACTGCAATATCTCTTTTAGCTAATACAGCTGGATATCATCTTCTTACATACGCAGATTTTCATTATCAAAGTAGATTTGCCTACAATCTTTATAATACTTTAATAAGAGGTATACAATTGAGAGTACCAATTGAGACTTTTTATTTTATAAGAGTATTCAATTACAACAATACCCTTATTCTAGCATTAATTCTGGAAGGCGAGAAATTTTCTGAGGAAGAAATTAATAATTTACTCGATATGACTGTTCAATTTTTGCGGTACATGCAACAGGGTATACTTGTTGTTGGTCGTTTCCTCGGTGAATATCTTTATTTTAATACGGGAGAACACCAATCGAAGATACTAGCCTTATTACAATGGATGACACTGGCATCTGTTAGTGGTATGTTTTCAACGAAACAATAATGTTCATGTCATAATTACCCATATTGTAAAAGCATAATACTTACAGACTTACAAGAAAAAGTATTGGCACACTTGAAAAACATGTATTACGAATCTTCATTAAAAGGAAAATGTGAAATTATCAAAACATTAAGGATATTGATTATAAACTTGGTACATAAAATAATTATTTATATTTTTGTTTTCTTATTTAATCATATTGTATTCCATATAATGTAATGACTATTAGCGAAAGAAAAATTATTTATTGTAGTTTGTTAATCATGGATTTGAAGAATGCCGTCGAGGAAGTTCGGCCCCATTTCTGAAGCAAGCTCCAGTGGATAACTTGGAAGATATTATGGCTATTCTTACAGAATTCGTCAAAGATCTTATTGTATCTGGCTTAAATATTCATATTTATGATACTTCACTACTTTCAGAAGCTTTGTTATTTTATGAAGAGGTATGCAATAAAATGATGTAAGATATGGTAACTGAGGATAGATTTATGTTAGTAAACTAAGCAATACAGTAAAGTTTGATTTATCACCTTAATTTATCACTTTAATATAAAATAATCAGGTTATTAAATTGGAAACCCGTAGTACAATATTATCGTTCACATTAGCACCACCAGCAGTAATATACGGAGGTTTCCTTTCACCAAGTTGTGCAACTTTATCGAGGATTTGTAAATTATTATTAAGGTATGTTGTCGTCTACGAACTTCAATTCTCATACATTTCATTAATGTAAAAATTATCACAGGTATCACCAAAGGAGTATAAAATTAAAGAAAAAGCGACATCAACATAACTTATTACTAACAAGAAGTATTAGGATGATATCTATTTATGCTCAAGATATTATAAATGCACTCTGGCACGATAAGGTGGGTACTGCAAGTAATAAAAATTATGAAATAACCAACTTGAATGCACGTAAAAATTTATAAAGATGTTCTGCTTCTTCTCTTTCATATTTACGCAAAGTTTAATCATTTTCAGCCATTTACTAAACGGAAGAATAAATACTTCTTAAGTTCCTTTCCAAAGAAAATATTAGATGATTTGGAATATTGTAACTTAAAT